ACATATCCTAAGGGTGATTCAACATTATTCAAGTAGGAATATTGGAACCACCCAACTAGAAAATGCCGAAAAGTTGAAACTAAAAATACCACAAGCACAACAATAATGCCGTGCTGAACGATCTTCAAGGATCGAAAATATAACATCATTGATTAAATGTACGGGGAGACTTTTTACAGCCGCCACACGGCACAAATAACACGGATGTGATCATAAAATAGATAAATACAGAATCCCTAAAGAAAGCCCAACACGGCAAAATTGAAAATGTTGCAGGCTCGGTTTGATTGAGCCTGTTCATGGACGGTACTGGAAGGTGCAAGTTACCGTCCACGCCCCCTAGCACCGGCTTAAGCAGAATTCAACATTTAAACATGAAATAGTAAAATTTTGAATTTAGGAACATCCGCAGATATGTTCATACGGCGGTTACCATGGAACCTTCAATGTGACACTTCCGTGCCATTCCATGAAAAGCGGCGTATGGTCCCCAGGTAATAAAAAGCGTGTGCCCTTAACGAGAAAACAATGAAAACCGTTTTGTATTGCACTACAATTTTTACTCTACAATGTTAAATTTGTCGCTTTGATTGACATGTCACCCTATGAGGTAGTTGCGAAAGCCGTTGAATTTCTCCCAGGAAGTCTTTGATAACCTTAACAAAAGACAACGGATGTACGACATCGTGATGGACGTCGTCAAGGTCTTCGACAAGTTTGTCCACCAAAAGTTAACAAACTAAAAAATACGACCATGTGACCATCAAGTTTCATCCTTGACTAGGACATTTCTGAGAAACTCTAAGAGGGTTGCGTAAAATGTCAAACATACCTCTGATAAATTGTCAGTGTTAGCCGGTGTCCCTCTGCAAATTTTTTTTTTTTTTATTTTATTTTTTTTATGCTCTTCCTGTTTCTGGCATATAGTATGACATGCCAGAAATGACAAAGTTAAAGCAGGGGGAAAGAGCCACACTACAAAAAAACGACCTTATATTAAAATTATTAAGACCACAGCTAGACTATTCCTCAATTATAAATGGCATCCTTGCAGAAACATCTTACCTACGTATACAAAGTGGAAAATGGACAAACATCTGCAGTTAGATATGTTTGAGGTAATTATGACTTTAAAAGTAGTGTCGCACAAATAACCTCCCATGACAAATTGAATCTAGTCACAGCCTAAATATTTTCAAGCGGTAAAAGGTATTGTTTCAAATATGTTTAAATTGTTTGATTGTAGCAGATATCCCATTCGTGTTTAAATATAAAAAATATTTTGATAGAGTGTTTACGGTTTACCGGGGCGTATCACGTTGGGGGCAGGATCTGACCGCCAAACATCTGTGCCCAGAATATAGAAATTCGCTATAACCAGGTACGTATATTAACGGTATCCGCAACTAGATTTTAGACCGTGATTGGTGTCGTGCCATTTACGCGCATGCGCACATGCTACGAAAAACATTAATCGATAGCGGAAGGCAACAATTTCAGTTCATGAAAAAATATGTTAATTAAGCGCTATTTTATGGGCATCTGCACAAAATACTCAAGAAATAATGACAGGTTAGTCTTATTTCTTTGTTATGTATGTAAATTTTTACTAGATCACGCTTTCAATGGCGTAAATCGGGTTGGAAATATTCCACTCTGGATGAATGAGATTTACAAAATGGCGAAAAGTTTGTTTGAAACGAGTGAACACGTATAACATCTGCAGAGTCATCAGGCTTAAACCACTCGAAGAAAACTGACTAAACTTGCACAAATCGGTTTAAAATAAATTAAAGTATGTCGTGAAGGTACTTTTAACACTCCCTTATCATCTGTTCTATTGTTTTTGTGGAAGGAAAATGTTAAATTTTTGTGGTGCAAAATTAAATTCACGACCTATTTTAGCCGAAGCATCAGGGGTATTTAAAGACCTTTAAAATATAAATGAATGCTGAAAAGTTAGTCACTATATCATAGTAAATGGTTTATGATATTATTTATAATTTTCAGCCGAGTAATTTTGATGCTATGTCTTTTTGAAAATGGATGACTTTTTCCACCATTTTTTTTTCATTTACTCAGAAGTTATATTCAACTTCTTTTTTGTTAGTTATTCCAGGTACGTATATTAACATTAGTACATGGTTATTCTGTGTTGATAAAACAAAATATTTATATTAAATGTCATTTCATCTATTTCAGGTCGTAACAAATGTGTTTCAAAGGGTTTCAAGTGGTAGATCAGCACGACAATTTCACTGAATGCTGATTCAGCCCAAAAGTTCAGATTTGCAGCTTGTGCCAGGAGAGTCCCAGAAGTGTCAAATAAATTTCGGGAATAAAGTGAAACTAAATGAAAACACTATAAACAGTCATTTTATAGCCAGTGCGATGCTATTGAAGTTTTATTTAAATCAAGTTATAAAATAAAAGGCAAAACTTATGTGTCTTCATTTTTCTTTCTTTTTTTTACTACCAGGTACCTGTTACTACCATTTCCAATACCTTTATGTCTTTTCTCTCGAAAACATGTACGTTCATTCAAGAGAACCTGAAAAGATACTGACATATGTAGTGGTGAAACAGTTTATGCAATATAATTGTATAAAAAGCAACACAGAGAATATGTTTTAAATAAAAACAACTGGATATAGTAATTAATTACAATCTAGCCTACCCACTAAAAAGCAGTTTCAAACAAGACCGACTGATAGAAAAAGTGTGAAAACTATCACAATATTGAACAATTAAACAGATGCACATTAATAACCGTGATTAAATCAATTACTGAATCTCCAGCAAACATCAATTATGACGGTACAATCACAATACTTTCATAACAAAAAATGTTTAGGCCGTTTTTCAGAAAACGAACATTTTTATAAGAGCTCTTTTCTGGTGCAGTTTGAAAATTATATAATCATACTTTTATTCAATTTTAAAAAAAGATAGATAGATAACTTCATTCTTTAAAACAATGTTCAAATAGAAAAATATAAAGGGCTTAATAAGTTAAATATATGGTAAAAATTTGCGTTCGAAATATGCAAGATGATTCTGGCCATGTGATTCTTCACGATATCTTATCCGCATTTATTTAAGATACGCAATAGAAATTGAAAAATAAAAAATTTAAAACTACAGTTTATAAGCTTTTTATAAATATTTTTTCACAAATTTCGGTCAAAAATGACGAAACAATAATAACTTGTATGTAAAATTTCTTTCGTGTGCAGTCGCGATTTGGCTGGTAGTAAAAGTTGCGTTTTTTACTCGTTACAATTCCGGAAATAATTTAGCTTTGTAAATGATAATTACACGGTTAAAAAGATCAAATTCTCAGCTTTCTTTTGATAGGTATTTTGCGAAATTCGGACCATATATGACGAAAAAATCTTATATTTGTTCGAAGAGGGTTAATATACGTACCTGCTATAACAGAGCATCCTACAGTTTTCATCTTTTTATTAACACTATTAAATTTGTTTCAGTGTCCTAACACATGATTATTTCTTCAGTTCATTCCTAGATCTACTTTCAATTTGTTAAATATTTCGTAATTAAACCGGCGCGCACGTGAAAAATGTAGAAAGAAGCGGTTGGTACAAATTACTTTCGTTGGGTTCCTTCAAATATAAACAAAAAGGGAGGTAAGTATCGAATGGCGGTATTTTTAATTTCCCGTGAATATCAATCGTCTTCATTAGTTATTACCAGTAATTCGTGAATATTATTTTTTTTCAATGTATTTTTTTATTTATTTTACCTTTTCAATATGTAAATCTGAAATGTTAATCCCAATGGTGTGCACTATAAAAATAAAATATAAGTATCAATCCAGTGTCATTAGATTTCGCGACAAAGTTGAGAGATAGCCAGGGTTCTACGATATCACGGTACTTAACCGTTTATCAGAAACTATTCAAATATAAATATCCAACACGAATAAGATTTTTCTTCTATTTAATAAGTGAAATTTTTCCAAAACTGTTTATCAAAAAAAACATAGATTCTACCTATTTCAAAAGATCCAATAAATGTCATTAATGACATTATATAACCCGGGGTTCTATGATATCACTGTACTAACTGTTTATTGGAAAATATTTAAATATAAATTTGTCAGGAAGATTGTTTTAATGATTTCTAGGTCATATTTGAATATGGGTCATCTCCGATCAAAAACTAGTTCACAGGAGCTAAAAATAGAAAAAACTTGCTTACACTTTAGTGACTGTAGTTTTGACTCAAATATTCTGGAAATTTTTCTGGAAGGTTGTTTTGATGATTTCTAGGTCAAGTTAAAACATGGGTCATCTCCGTTAAAAAACTAGGTCACAATTTCCCAATCTGAGCTAGGAAAAGGTCTGATTGTATGCTACAGCATTTGATGTATTTAGTACACTAAATTCACCCATTTCACAATTTATGGGGCCGAAATTCAGGCCCATTGCCCTTCCCAGCTAATTACCTTTTTAAAAAAAAAAAATAATCCACTCAAAAAAAGTTTTTTCTAGTTTTTTTTTTTTTTAATTTAACATATCTTAAACAGAAGACATCTAAAATAAATAGTGCAGGTGCTGGACTTCACTTTTTTCTAAAATCTTCAATATATTGCATGGTAGATTCACTGATACACTAATGGTGTATGAAACACCAGTGAGGATATATACTACACCTAGAGAGATCTGTGGTTGAACTAAATTGAGTTTAGTGTATTTAGTAGAAAAAAGTTTTAAACACAAAGTGTCAGCAAAAAGAAATGATAATTTAAAGTGTCCTACCTAGTGAGTAATCATTATTAACTGATTAAATATTAATTGATTAATATCTTACAAACCTTGAGAATACTTATTCTATTCCATGCACAGAGTTCAGATAAGTAATGAAAAATGCCATGAAATAAGATGGTTAAGATTGAAAAGTTTACTGTTCATAATAAAATTTGTTTTTGAAGTTGTATTTCATAAATGCTTGTAGGTACACAGTTATTGAGTTAATCTGTAAATTATAAATATAAAATGGAAAAGCATCCCCTGTATGGTAAGAAGAAGAAAAAGAAAGTTTCATGTCCGAATCCATTGTTTGTACAATGGCTAACAGAATGGAGAGATGATGCTGCTGAGAAAGGGATCAAGAGTCAGTATACCTATGGAAAGGTAAAATGTAATCAAAGTTTTTGTACCTATCTATTACTCTTCCTCCACTGGTAAATGCTAAAAAGTCACCAAATGACTTTTTACATTTTAATTGATACATTAAATACTAGAACATCAAAACAAAAATTGTGCTGAAATGTTAATATTTCTACGAATCCTAGTACATGTATAAATACATGTATACAAAAATGGGGCAGGTATTTTTAGTGAACATTTTGGTTATCAAAACCAAACATACATATCTGTTAAATACTTCTAAAGAGATTTTTTTGTCCAAGGACCTTTGTTACATGTACTTATAATGATTCTGTGAACATGTAGGCTGTACCATATTTTCTATAACATGTATTATAAATAATTAAACATGCAGCTGACAAATAATATTTCAACTGTGACAGTCATTTATCATTCACAGTGTAAGTGATTCGTGTACTAAAGTTACTATGATAACTTCACTAGAATCTCTTGTTTTGTAATTGCTTGATGACACTAACTGAAATTATATGAAAAGGCTGATATCGATGTTAAATTTGTTTCATTATATCATTATTATGTCTGATTATATTTTATTAAATAAAAAAAGATATTGTGCTATAAATATTTCAAATTTTGATATATTCATGCATTATTCTTTCTCATTTCAGGCATTAAAGACCTTACAGAAGTTCCCTTTGAGATTTGAAACTGGAAAAGAATGTAAAATCCTAGAAAATTTTGGTAATTATGTATTCCTTAAGGTTTTATTCACTGCTCTTCATTTATTTTTTAGTTTGAAAAAAAATCATAAATGGTATCTTTTTTGAGGTTCTAGAACTTTTTGAAATACAATATAGTACCACAACAAATTAAGAACAACTTCATTCATGATCATTGGGAAGAACCCTAGATAATATTGGTATAACTTTTAACTTTTGTATGTACTATTAAAATTTTGTTTAAGATAAAATTATGTTAATACGTATATAATATTAAATGTGTTAACATTGACATTATTGTAGAATGGTTATTAAATATTTTCAGGTGACAAGATTTGTAAAATGTTGGATGATAGATTGTCAGAACATGTGTCTGTGTATGGCACCACAGCTCCTGTCAACATATCAGACACAGCGTCACATGTCCAAGTTCACCAGCAAACTAAATGTAAGGTTACAATGTCATCAGGCTATGGATGTCAGGCAAAGATGGAAAAGAGTAAGCTAACTTTGTTTTGTCATGAATCACAAATATTTAAAATAACTTATTTACAGCATATTGACATTATAACTCCAAAACAATTAGCTGAACTTAAAACAGTCAAGTTTTTGCCAAGTGCTTGATTGTCAGGTTGTTCCTCAGTTTTTATGCTTTACCAAGCGTAAATTTAAAGGCACATTATGAATTGAATACTATTTTCCTCCTTTAGAAAGGACAAACATGAGTTTTATGAGTTTTATAACATTTATATAATGGTTTTTAGAGTATGTTTAAGAAAAGTAGCTCTGAATGTAAAATTATTTATCATAAAGTAGCAAAATTTATACAAAGTAGTACTTTGACTTCCACAGAGAATAAAAAATTATTATATCTGTACTAATTGCTTAAAAGCAACAGAAGCAAGAGATGGTTCAGGTTATTGGCCAATGAGTTACTATTGATTTGGAAACTACAGAACACCAAAAATGAAAATAAAAAATTAAGGGAAAAAATAAAAGTGTTTCTGGGGCAAAATGGACCTTTAATGCAAAGCTCCAGATAAGCTTTCAGAGGTAAAAAGGGGAATCCCTATTATCAATACAACATTTGCTTTAATATATCTGCAAAGTTTCTGCATCAAATTTCTGCATCAGTTCATGCTAGGGGTCTTGGAGTGTAGCCTGCAATTACCACTTCTGTAGTCAGGGATTGTCATGTAGGGCATGTACTTCTTATCTGGAGGTTTGGAATTTGAATCCCACCAGAGTTCACTTTTATATATTTGTTACAGATAAATCAGCAAACAATGGAACAGTATCTACAATGCGTGTACATGATATATCTGATAGCAGTGATGAAGAAGTTCATGAACAACCAGCTAGAGTAAGTTAAAGTTTGCCCTTGTTATTTTTACATTGATAAGTTGTCTTTACTTGTCCTACTTGAATTGTTAGATTTTGCTGAGGCATTGTTTATTTAAGAAATTTCAATTTCAAAATTCTGAAATTATGCATCATTTGAACACTATAAAGTCTGTTCAAGCTGCAGGGAAGTGCAATACTGGTATTTTGGTGATACAGGCAATTTTAGTTCTCCAAGTTATATGATCAAAATGAGTGTATTTTTATATTTATAGAAAAGACAAAGATCAGGACGTAAAAGTGGTGACAGGGCATATATACCTGTTTACAGATCAGGACCATATGCATTACTATTGACTTTATATAAAGATACACAGGTAATCAATTTGTCTCTTTTTATCCATAATTCCTACTTGTATTATTGTATATTTTTACCAAAAGCTTTTGTGACAGGCTTATTTTGTGACAATTACATCTGCGCTGGATTTTAAAATACACTTGATCTTCTTATGCTAAAGTTTGATTGAAATTTGTTATTATACAGCATCTTTGTAAATATATAAAAAAAGTGTCTATGTAAACTTAACAACATCATGTGTAGAACCAATATAACACAGAAGTCTTGAGGTTTCACTGTTTTAGATAACACTTGTTTCAGCCCAATTTCATATTTAAAAAAAAAAAAGGCCTGCTCTTTTTTTAAAAATGATGAATGATTATGTCCACATTAAAATATGGACACGTCAATTTAAGATGTTTAGAATGGTAAGGGTTTAAGATGCTTTTGGTTAACAAAATATGTTGTCATCAGATATTTATAATATAATTATGTATTTATATATTTACAGTCACCAGAATCTCAAGGATTTATGAATAAAGCAGATTTGATTAGGAAAGCTCAACCATTAGCTGACAAATCTTTTACTATGGTAGGTAGCAGTTTTGCAGGCAAAGGTTTTTTGTGCTACCACGTTAGTGGCGGTCATTTAGATTTACCCTTGTCCGTCCATCCGTCCGTCCTTCCGTTGGTTCGTCCGTCTGTTCACTTTTGTGTCAAAAGTAACTCAAAAAGTATTTGATCTAGAGTCATGAAACTTTACAGGAATGTTGATCAGCATGTGTAGTTGTGCACCTGGGTATTTTCGTCTGGATATTTTTAGTATTTTCAGAGTTATTACCCTTGACTTAGTAAAATTTTGCAATTTTCAACTTGTGTCGTATGTAACTCAAAAAGTATTTGACCTAGAGTCATGTAACTTTACAGGAATATTGATCAGCATGTGCAGTTGTGCACCAGGTATTTTCGTCTGGATTTATATAGTATTTTTAGAGTTATTGCCCTTCACATAGAAAATTTTTGCAATTTTCAACTTGTGTCGCAAGTTACTCAAAAAGGATTTGACAAAGTCATTAAACCTTATGGGCAGGTTGCTCAGCATATTTAGATTTGCACCTGGGGTTTTGCTTATGGATTTATCCAGTATTTGTAGAGTTATTTCCCTTGACTTAGTAAAAAGATTGACAGAACAGTGGCGCGGTGGGGGCACCCATGTCCTATGGACACATTTCTAGTTTTTTATTGTTATTTACTTTGAAAAAAAAAAACAACCTTTATGCAAAACAATGCATAAATAAAAAAAGCTTATGAAATCAAACCTATTTTCACATATGAGCAGCAGATTTTTACCTTGACACCGGGAACGAAAAATTCCTAATTTCATTGCAAATCTATAAATACAGCCATGATAAGCTTTTAGTATTTCTTTACGGATTTAACAAAACATTATCTTATATTTGATTTTGTGCCCCCACTTCAGGGGGGAGCATTTAGATTTACCCTTGTGCATCTGTTCTTCTGTCCGTCCGTCCATCCGTTCTCTTTTGTGTCGCACGTTACTCAAAAGTATTTGACCTAGAGTCATGAAACTTAATAGGAATGTTTATCAGCATGTGCAGTTGTGCACCTGGGTATTTTCGTGTGGATTTATTCAGTATTTTTAGAGTTATTGCCCTTGACTTAGTAAAAATTTGCAATTTTCAACTTGTCGCACACAACTCAAAAAGTATTTGACCTAGAGTCATGAAACTTTACTGGAATGTTGACCAGCATGTGAAGTTGTGCACCTGTGTATTTTTGTGTGGATTTATCAAGTATTTTTAGAGTTATTGCCCTTGACTTAGTAAAAATTTGCAATTTTTAACTTGTGTCGCATGTTACTCAAAAACATTTCTAGTTTTTGTTGTCTGGAGTTATTGCCCTTTGTTTATTTTTACTTTTTGAAGTTGTCCGGGACATAACTCGGAAACCATAAGAGATATCAACAAGAAACTTTGTAGGTTGATAGATCGCATTGATTAGAAGTGCAGTGCAAAGAACAGTAACTCTGCCTTGCCTAATTTTGGAATTATTGCCCGTTGAACTTTTTCCAGGGACATAACTCTGAAACTACAAGGTGTGTACTTTCCTGTGTCCAAAACCTATTCGGGGAGCATCACCCGGCTCAAACCGGGCTCTTGTTCAACTTAGAAATTCATTGTAAAGTTTTGCTTGTAAGCTGTTATCTCCATAACTACTGAATGGTTTGTGCCTTTTTTGGGACAATTTTATGCATTCATAATAATAAAGCAGTGATTTACTTATTAAAACAACTTATTATGGCTTAATAACAAGCCTTTGTACCTTTTCGTTCAATTTTATGTATTCGTAGGTAATTAGCATTACTATACTCAATAAAACACCCTTGTGACAACTTTTTAAATAGTCGAGCCAATACCGTCCTCCGACAGTTCTTGTTATAAAAATGCACCCTCATTATACAATCACTGTATTCAAACCAGCCAGCAGTGCCTTGTTGTTTTAAGCAGCCATGTTTATTAGCTCACCTGAGCATATGCTCAGGGTGAGCTATTAGGATCACTCTTCGTCCGTCGTCCGTTGTCCGTTCACACTTTTAAAACGACATCACCTCTGAAACCATAGGGCAGATCATAATGAAACTTCACAGGCATGTTCCTTGTGTGAAGCCTTAACAAAGTTGTTCAAAGAATTCCATTCCATGCAGAACTCTGGTTGCCATGAGCCGAAAGAAAAAACTTTATGTATATTGTTAAAACTTAAAAAATCTTCTTTTAATAAACATTAAGAGCTAGAGCTAAGATATTTAGCATGAAACATCTTCTAATGGGTGTCTACCTTTTTTGTTCAAAAAATGGCCCTGGTAGTAAAATTGGCCCCGCCCCGGGATCATTGATTTTCCTTATATGTATATAGTAAAAACTTAAAAATCTTCTGTTAAAAAACCCAAAGAGCTAGAGTTTAGATATTAAGCATGAATTATCTTCTAGTGAGTGTCTACCAAGTTTGTTCAAATAAAAGCCCTGGGGACAAAATTGGTCTGCCCAGAGGGGGGGTCATTGTTTTTCCCTATATGTGTATAGTAAAAACTTAAAAAATCTTCTTAGAGCTAGAGCTTAGATATAAATCATGAAACAACTTCAAATGGGTGTCTACCAAATTTGTTTGAATAAAAGCCCCTGGGTTAAAATTGGCCCCGCCCCGGGGGACTATATACAGGTGAGCGATTTCAGGGCCATCATGGCCCTCTTTTCTCATTATTCCTGTACATAGATGATGTTTCTAGTATTTATCTCACTCGTATGTTATGATTTACCTGTGTTGTAGGCAGACCCAGGATGTCGCTATACTGCATGGTCTTCTATGGGTACATTGATAAAGAAAGGTTTAGTTATCAAAGATAGTAGCCCAGCCAGGTAACAGGAATGATGATTTTTTTGTTAATTTCATGCTTTCCTAAATTGTTCATAGTAGCTTATTATAGCTTCTTTGTCATTTATTCTTTCCTTCACATTGATTCTCATAGCATTTTTATATTTTTAGCTCCACTTTTCGAAGAAGAAAAAAACAAGCTGTTTTCATGATCCTCTTGTTGATGTCAGCATTGATTAACCTGTTCGTTAATGTTCATTTTCTCAGAAACTATAAAAGCTATCCATTTTATATTTTGTTTACATGTTTCTTATCATAAAAAGATGCCATTTCATTTAAAATTATTTTATGCAAAGTAATGCCCCTTTTTCAATTTTTTGCCCTGGTTAACCTTTTAATTAAGGTCCATTAAGGTCCATTTTCTTTGAAACTATGAAAGTTATTCACTTCGAACTTGATATTATGATCACTATTAAAATATGACACCATTTTAGTTGAGCAAAGAATCATTAAATTCATTTTTGCAAGTAATGTCCCTTTGTTGACTTAATTTTATAATTAATAATCACTTCAAACTTTACATACTTTTTAAATTATAAATGCATTTCTGAAGAGCAAGTTATTTATAACTTATTTTTGACTTGAAATTTTGAAATGTAACCTACAGTTTAACTTCGTTCGCTCGAACTCATTGCCCAGTCCCGGCAAAATTCCTATATAATATATATTGTTCTACCTCGGATCGCTCGAACACCCATCTCTCGAACCTGATCTCTGGTCCCGTCGGCAGAAATATAGTGTAAATCACACCTTTTCGGTCGAACACAAACAGACAACAGAAGTTGCGGTTGACATGTTCTAAATAATTGACAGTCGGTGACACATGTTTTAACACCTCGTGATCGTGACAAAGGCAATTAAGGTTAAATGAAACCAAATAAAAAGTGTTGTAACCGATTTGTTTGTTATGATACAATTGTTTATTTGCCGTCTTTAGAAACGATAAAAGGAAAATGACTCCTAAAATGCGCAAAAGTCAATAAATAAACGGTAGTAATAGAATGCGAAATGGACTCCATTTCGCAAAATGAACTTTTCGACTACGAAATGGACATTTGTTTCTTAAATTTTGGTTTAAGTGTACTATTTAATATCTTTTTTAATAACGAACAAGTGATATATGACATAAGATTACTATTTAAACAATTTTTGTAATATTTTTTCATTATTTATGCTTGTAGATCTACATTTGAAAATAATCGTATAATAATGTCACATAGTTAAGTGTTTTATACATGGTCTTTCAAATAGAAAAATTCTGTAATATATCATATGTTTAACCTGGGACAAAAATATTTTTGTCGTCCCAGATTAAATTTAAGTGAATAGAAAAGATACCCTTTGAAGTTTGTGACATGTCAGTTACACCATAATTTGTAAAGCAAATGTCCATTCGGTAAGCGATACCTCCATTTCGTGGCCGAAAACTCCTTTTCGTAGAGGCCAGATTATTTTCATAGATATGACTATAAAATAGGAAAATAGTAATATTAATTTGTTCAATCTGTAGTTTTATGTCAAAGGTTAAACATAAATTAATAAAAATAATATTACTCATCGCTGTCAAACAAACAAATGTCCATTTCGTAGGCGGTAAGTTCATTTCGCGAAATGGAGTCCATTTCGCATTCTATTACAACCCATAAATAAATGGTTCATGTAACGTGATTTGTAACAGTGTAATCGAATGATACTTGTACGTGTGTTTTTTAAGCTCACCTGTCACAAAGTGACAGGGTGAGCTTTTGTGATCGCTTTTCGTCCGTCGTCCGTCCGTCCGTCGTCCGTCCGTCCGGCGTCCGTCCGTAAACTTTTACTTTAAATGACATCTCCTCATAAACCACTAAGCCAATTTCATCCAAACTTCACAGGAATGTTCCTTTGGTGGTCACCTTTAAAAATTGTTCAAAGAATTTAATTCCATGCAGAACTCTGGTTGCCATGGCAACCGAAAGAAAAAACTTTAAATATCTTCTTTTAAAAAACCATAAGAGCTAGAGCTTAGATATTTGGCATGAAACATCTTCTAGTGAGTGTCTACCAAGTTTGTTCAAATAAAAGCCCTGGGGTCAAAATTGGCCCCGCCCCGGGGGTCATTGATTTTCCCTATATGCATATAGTAAAAACTTAAAAAATCTTCTTTTAAAGGCCTGGGAACAAGTATAAAAGGCAGACAAGCAGAAAAATGGCCACTGCTGTTGAACTCTATATGCTGTCTGCTAGCATAATCAGAGAGAGATAGAAAAATGAAATTTCAAAATTTAGAGAGACATACCTCATATTATTTGCTATAAATTGGCACATCACTTCTTTATCATGTAAGCAACATTCCTTGAAAGTTACAGATCTCTGTGATACTTAGAAGTACTACTTTAAAAAAATCATTTTTTGAAAACAGTTAAAAATTCAAATTTCCCTGTGTATTTGATTGACAGTTGTACAGAGGTTATGACCTTTCTTTCAGCCAACTACATCTCTCTAGGTATAAACATTCTCACAGTAGAGTTTGACAGATGGCGGGGAAATAAATACTAGGGCAATAAATACTACCAGAGAAATACTATGCAAGCAATGAACTTGGATTTTTATTTATTGATTGTGTTATATTCCATCCCTACAATCATGAATTTATTAACTTGAAATGACATCACTATAATTTAATTGTTGATATATTGATTGTTCTGTAAAAGAAGCATTCAAATTTATGTATCACCCAAATGTGCAGCACTGTCTATTCCCACAAGTGGCCCATGTATGGTTCACCAACTGGATTCGGGAACCACTCCCTCACAATTGCAAAATCATTACCCCCCAATAAATACACAACTTCTTTATCTCTCCTGAATGCTGAACTCTCCTATACTATTGCAGACCACATGTTTATATTTACAAGCATGCTGACCTCAGGTCATGATAATAAAACCCCGCCTCTTGTACCTAATATGCTTAATGGCCATCCGTATGGATATCTGAGTTCACATTCCCCGGCCTTTAAAGAACCCAAAGAGCTAGAGCTAAGATATTTAGCATGAAACATGTTCTAATGGATGTCTACCAAGTTTGTTCAAATAAAAGCCCTGGGGTCAAAATTGGCCCCGCCTCGGGGGGTCATTGATTTTCCCTATATGCATATAGTAAAAACTTAAAAAATCTTCTTTTAAAGAACCCAAAGAGCTAGAGCGAAGATATTTAGCATGAAACATGTTCTAATGGACGGCTACCAAGTTTGTTCAAATAAAAGCCCTGGGGTCAAAATTGGCCCCGCCCCAGGGGGTCATTGATTTTCCCTATATGCATATAGTAAAAACTTAAAAAATCTTCTTTTAAAGAACCCAAAGAGTTAGAGCTAAGATATTTAGCATGAAACATGTTCTAATAAGTGTCTACCAAGTTTGTTCAAATAAAAGCCCTGGGGTCAAAATTGGCCCCGCCCCAGGGGGTCATTGATTTTCCCTATATGCATATAGTAAAAACTTAAAAAATCTTCTTTTAAAGAACCCAAAGAGCTAGAGCTAAGATATTTAGCATGAAACATGTTCTAATGGACGTCTACCAAGTTTGTTCAAATAAAAGCCCTAGTTAAATTTGGCCCTGCCCCAGGGGGTCATTGATTTTCCCTATATGCATATAGTAAAAACTTAAAAAATCTTCTTTTAAAGAACCAAAAGAGTTAGAGCTAAGATATTTAGCATGAAACATGTTCTAATAAGCGTCTACCAAGTTTGTTCAAATAAAAGCCCTGGGGTCAAAATTGGCCCCGATCGGGGGGTCATTGATTTTCCCTATATGCATATAGTAAAAACTTAAAAAATCTTCTTTTAAAGAACCCAAAGAGCTAGAGCTAAGATATTTAGCATGAAACATGTTCTAATGGTTGTCTACCAAGTTTGTTCAAATAAAAGCCCTGGGGTCAAAATTGGTCCCGCCCCGGGGGGTCATTGATTTTCCCTATATGCATATAGTAAAAACTTAAAAAATCTTCTTTTAAAGAACCCAAAGAGCTAGAGCTAAGATATTTAGCATGAAACATGTTCTAATGGTTGTCTACCAAGTTTGTTCAAATAAAAGCCCTGGGGTCAAAATTGGTCCCGCCCCGGGGGGTCATTGATTTTCCCTATATGCATATAGTAAAAACTTAAAAAATCTTCTTTTAAAGAACTCAAAGAGCTATGGCTAAGATATTGAGCATCAAACATGTTCTAATAGGTGTCTACCAAGTTTGTTCAAATAAAAGCCCTGGGGTCAAAATTGGCCCCGCCCCAGGGGGTCATTGATTTTCCCTACATGCATGTAGTAAAAACTTAAAAAATCTTCTTTTAAAGAACTCAAAGAGCTATGGCTAAGATATTTAGCATGAAACATGTTCTAATAAGTGTCTACCAAGTTTGTTCAAATAAAAGCCCTGGGGTCAAAATTGGCCCTGCCCCGGGGGGTCATTGATTTTCCCTATATGCATAAAGTAAAAACTTAAAAAATATTCTTTTAAAGAACTTAAAGAGCTATGGCTAAGATATTTAGCATCAAATATGTTCTAATAGGTGTCTACCAAGTTTGTTCAAATAAAAGCCCTGGGGTCAAAATTGGCCCCGCCCCGGGGGGGTCATTGATTTTCCCTATATGCATATAGTAAAAACTTGTTGGGGGTTGGGGGGGCCTATATACAGGAGAGTGACCTCAGGGCCATCATGGCCCTCTTGTTTAGTAAATGGCTACTAATAGATGCTGCTGTTAAATGTTTTTTTTTTTAAATATTTCATTAATTCATTGTTTAAAGTAAAATTCACAGTTTGGATAATGATCGCCCGATCAAACTCAATATGCATGAATATAGATTAACACAGTGTACCGTTAATACTGTTTTTAATAGGATAATCATTCTGAATATGACGTATTCGACAAACGGATGTACTAACAAACAATTATATTGACGTATTTATCACTTGATCGATGTAAGCTGGACAACCTTTAGGCCTATGTTCTATATGTAATAATAATTCAACCTCGGTTGGCTCGAACTACCGATCTCTCGAACAAATTTGCACAGGCCCTCCGAGTTCGAGCGAACGAAGTTCGACTGTATTTATAATGAATTCAGTACAAAAACAATAAATTTAACTTGATTCACTACTGCCATCTAACCAAAGATGATTTTTTTTACCTGAGGGTATTTATATTGAGTAATATCACATAATCAAGTACAGAGTTATGTTTAGCATAACATGCATACTCAAAGCTGTCCAGTTGCACTACTCTTTGGGTAACATCTTGTAAATTCAGTACACACATGTAATTCTGTACTTGATAAATATTAATAAAAAACATGTAATATAAGATAACTCTCAGATTGGAAAATCATTCTTTGAACATTTTTAGAATAGTGTGAACAAATAAATGAAACAGTAATTAGATAGTGCCTTTAACATTTTATTAACAAAATGTGATGAATTATATACACAAATAAAACAAACTTCATAGAGTTAAGTGTTACCAAGCCAAAATATTCTTCATCGGAATTTATTCGAACTAAAACATAAATTTCAAGGTTCTATGTATTTCATTTCTAGTTCAACAAATACATGCGTGGTGTTGACCATTAGTTTGTTGTAATTTTGTGTAGGTACAGTATAACAGATGCAGGCTGTGAGCTGGCCAATAGAATGGAGGCTTTTAAGGAAGAAACCAGTGTGTCACGTGATGCTGATATTCCATTTAGGATACATGAACCTGATACAGCTCCTGAATTACCCAGCATGCCACATGATTCCTTACAGGATAGGTTACCCAGAATGCCTCATGATAACTCACAGGATAGGTTACCCAGCATGCCACAGGAGTATGATAATAGCAGTGTAGAGGAGTATAGCTGGCCAGGACATGATGTTGTCCAACGGAACTCTTGGTATTTTTAACTTTTCATACGTTATGATCTTATGTCGGAATAAGCAGTTTAAGATCATATGTGTGTCATGACATTACCCTTGGCATTACTTTAGATTTAACATAATTATTTTTAGCTTAATTGTGATAGAATTATTTTTAGCTTAATTGTGATGGGATTATTTTTAACCTAATTGTTATGGAATTATTTTTAGCTTAATTGTTATGGAATTATTTTTAGCTTAATTGTGATGGAATTATTTTTAGCTTAATTGTGATAGAATTATTTTTAGCTTAATTGTGATGGAATTATTTTTAGCTTAATTGTGATGGGATTATTTTTAGCTTAATTGTGATGGGATTATTTTTAGCTTAATTGTAATGGAAGCTTGTTGCTTTGATATTTGAACCACAGTTGGTCTGCTCACTGGAACTAACCATTTACTCAACTGGGCTCAAACCTATGACCCCTGGGTTTGGAGACAGACACTTTAACCACTAGGCCACTGCTCCCCTAATAAGGCTTTGAAGTAAGGAAAGTTGGAATAAATACATACCAGCCAGTAAGTGGCTACTAATTTTAAGTATGTGGTTGTAGTTTTGGAACCCTCATAAATATTTTACTTACCCGAAGTTATAACAATAGAATTATATCAGCATTTCTTAAAATATGATACATATTATTTACTTATATCATGGCTATCTATTAAATAAAAGATTTTACTAGTATCATGGCTATCTATTAAATAAAAAGAGCTCTGAGTGTTTAACTAACTTTGAAGCACTTGCCATTTTACTGTTATGAATGCAAGGCCAACAAAAGGCTTTTGACTTCATTCATGTGTGGGGTTGCATCCAGCTTGCTTACAGTAGGTTGGTGGTACTTTTTTGGTGCTTGGCCATGCCCAAGTCCTCATATGACATTTACTGTGATGGTGTAAACAAGAACCAAAATAAAGCAAAAAGACTAAAAATATTTAGTAAGAAATTTCTACCAGGTCAGGGAAGGTAATTTATGTCTTGGGAATGAACATTTTCTTGACTTGATGAAAGTATATGATCATACATGGTATTTTATTTCAGTTTGAAGTATTGGTATATAAATGAAGAGGGGGACGAGACTCTAGTCAAAGATAAAGCTGTTGTTTCCATAGATGGTCAGTATTAAATAGTCTTTGGCAAACACTTCAGTGTAAAAGTTGTTATGTATAAACTTAAAATATGAATTTTAAGAAAGTCTTTATGTAAAGGACAGTTTAAAAGTTTGTTTGTTGGGTGCTGTTTTAATGATGTAGCAAAAACCTGATCTATGTTTTGATTATGAAACTAATATGGCAGTCAGAGCATGGCGTCCTAAGTAACACTTGCTCATGTGATTTTATCTATAAATACTAAAAAACCAAGATGAATCTTATGTCTAATTAAATCTTAATCACAGCTGATAATGATACATAAAATAGAGTTAGTTTTTGTATTTTCTTTATCTTATCACAATGTGGCATTGACCATTATTTGGGTCAAAGTAGCTCTATAGTCAGGAAAGGATCTTAATTATTGTGAATCAATGACTAATATTTTTAAGTGATAGTTAGCCAGTTATGTTATATTCATCAATAAAATTGTCTGCCTATATTATTTGCATATACCAATATCATGATCATCGTTTTTGTAAAGTGCCTACAAACATTTATGACCACTGCAGGAATGAAAGTGCCCAAAACACAATTTTATCACCGCAAGAATACATCTATTAAATTACACTATTTATTCACCTATAAAGACATTTGTTTAATTACATGTAAAGCTTATATATTTTCAGATGAGATTGGTGTAGGATTTCTAGTCAAATGTAATTATACTGAGTTATTGAAGTCAGGGGTGAAATACAAGCTGGATACAACAAAGTAAGTCTGATTCCTGTTTATAGAATGATTAAAGAAGCTAACCTTGAATGTCTTGCTTTCTTGCCAATTGGTCAAACAAAACAATGTCATTGCTTTAATGTGAGAAAGTTTTATGTTGTGACCAGATGGCAGAAGGCTGCAGGTTCTACCAACTATCTAGAATGAATTCTTCATTTACCAGCACAAGTCAAGAAATGCTGTATTGGTGTCACCTAACCTGAAAACACAATCAGTATCATGCAAAACCAACTATTCATTTGTATCAAGAATGGTTTTATCTACATTTAATTGATTGTCTTTTTCTGATATGTAAAAAACAGCGGACAAAGGAGTTATTTGCAAAAGAATGAGCTTTTAGTTCACTTCAGCACAAAGTGCTTAAGATGAGCTTTTGTAATAACAAATTGTCCTGCGTACATCATCTGAAAGTTTACAATATTACTTGTTCCTTGTCATTAAGAGCACTTATAATCAGGTGAGTGATATATGGCCATCATGGCCCTCTTGTATGCTCTTCATATGGTCAGTGTACACCTTTGTTCATGGTTCGTTCTATTTTAAGCACTCATTCTCTTACTGAATGTTTTCATCCTTTTCTCAAAAGCCATTTAAAAATATACCTTTTGTAAAGGTAAGCAATTTGTATCACTTGAGATACCCAAACAATGAAGGACTGATAATTGATTTATTGTATTTTTGTAAGTTTAGTTTATACAATTTTTTTTAGTTCGATTGTGTTGGAAGCTATAAGCTTATTGAATCACTCTCGAATCGGTTCCTGGAACCAACCAGTACTAAGCAATGAATTTAAAGTTTCTTGGTCAAAGAAACAACGGCTTGCCCCTAACAGGGTTTGAACCAAGATGGTCAGCAATCCTAAGATAATATTACTAGTCCAACTCGTTAATCACTCGGCCATGCCGCCATGATTTTTGGAAGTTGTTTGTTAGTTAGTGATATATTGATTTCATGGCAGAGTTATTTAATTCATTATAACAAATGGTATTTAGTGATTTTTAAAAAAAAAATGCACACATCAAGGTGAGCAAATAAAGTTTGCCTGCAAGACTGAAATTTTATTGATTTTATTTCTTTATCACAAAATACAGGTTACTTTTTAATCTTTTAACAAATTTAAAATGATGCATGTGTTATACTTACTGTATTCATTTGATTTCTTCACTTGGAGATATTTTTATTGTTTAAAACACTTTATGCCTATACATGTATGTTTTAATTAGTTATCTGCAGGCATGCTGCTTTAATTAGTTAAGTATTTTCAGGCCTATAGGAGACGACTTTGTATATGTGTACCTGGGCAATGACAGCACTGACGACACTGCTATCCCACCTTACAGAAAACAAAACACAGATACTAGTAATTTGTCAGGTAAATAATTTTGTACAAGATTATTCTAGTCAATACTAATACAGGGATTGTAAGAATGCTAGCCACTGTATTCAGCCAGTTTCTGAAAGATAAGTTCAGTAAAGCCTGTAAGGTTGTACACTATATAATTCAATATATTGGATATAATTGCATTATTATATCTGGCAATATTATATCACAATATGTTTTCAAATAACATAATACAGTGAAATTTGAGAAAACCGGACGCTGAGAAAATCGGAACTCTCTAAAAACCGGACGAATAATTCAGTCCCAAATTTTCCCTTCTTTAAACTATTGTATTAAACATTGACAATACCGGAATCTGTAAAAACCGAATACCGGACGGTTAATTGGGGACTACAAAGTCAATTATATAGACAATTACCCTGACAATACCGGACGCCGAATGTGTGAAAAACCTTGTGTACTTATCAATTGGTTGTGTCTAATACGCTAACTGAGCGGTAACGGAACAATAATTGTCTGATTTGTTTATACTGTCTCTTTTCACAGTTTGATTTATTGTAAGGTATAGATGTTACCGTTTTATATAAATGCCAAAATGCACGAGATATTGATCAGTTAAAATCAGTATGAATAAAAAGTAGAGTATTTTTCTATTGTGTTTCGCAACGGAAACGATATTTATCGGCGCTTAGTTCTATTCCATGGCCGAAAATTATTCGACAATAGTTGTCTACATGTGACAAAGTTAAATTAATTAAAGACAGTGAAACTTTGCCGAAACCTACTTTAAAAATCTGACCAATATGTTATTATTATAAACAAACAAAGTAAACTAAATTCGTTAAATCATTACCCATTACCCAAATGTAAACATATGCGGATGTACTCAGACTTGATCGTTATGAGGTAACTGCTGTTCATTTTTATCCAAACTTTTATGTCTTTATATGCAATAATGGGACAAAACAATTAAAACATATTTTATATTTTTTTTTTGTATTCTTATCATTTCTTTATTTAGCAATATACGTACACATTATCTTGAAATGCAAATATACAGCATCCTTAGTAAGTCATTGCTCGGTTATAATAATTATAAGATCCTGAACAGCTGAAGGGGACATTGAGAATACCGGACCGCTGAGAAAACCGGACAAAACCCTCAGTCCGAAAGCCGTCCGGTTTTCTCAACTTTCACTGTACATGTATATCAAAGCTTTGAATTTTTAATAAAAAACCTAAGATTTCTCATTTTCTTTGCGAATTTCTTAACATGTAGAGCTTGATTTCAAATGGTTGTTGCCTCAAAATGTTTAAAATCCTTAATTTACAAAATGCCATTTTTACACAATATGAAATCTTTTATAAAAGACACTCTCATGTATACTTTGTCAGGACATAATATTAAGGATAAACTCTTAAATAAAGTTTCTGTAGATCGTAGCCTTACTTTTAAAGTATTTTAGATAGTTTTTAATATATATTGCAATATTTTGCAATATGTTTGTAAATATTGCAAAATATCTTTTATCACAATATGATTTTTAGCTTTTGAAAAAAAAAGTAGCGGTATTGTTATAGTCGGGTCGGCGTTGCCGTTGCCGTTGCCGTCCGCAAACTTGTACCTGGATCATAACTTTTTTGTTTCTTGGTGTATTGTCTTCATACTTGGCCACAACAACCCTTGGGACAAGACCTTTCAGTAGACCACACTAACCTTGTCCTTCATCCATAAATGACCTTGACCTTCAAGGTTAAAAGTCCAATTTTTGCTTGTTCATGCTGTTACTGGCTGTAACTTTGTTATTTTTAAATGGATTGTCTTCAAACTTGAACATAATAATCTTCAAGGATATCCCTTAAAAATAACCCGCCAGACCTTAACCTTCACTCATAAATGGCCTTGACTTTGAAGGTCAAATTATTGAAATTTTCATTTTTAGCTCGACTAATCGATAAGAATAAGTAGAGCTATTGTAGTCACCCGAGCGTCGGCGTCGGCGTCGTTGTAACCACTTATGTTAAAGTTTTTGTAATAGTTCAAATATTTTCAAAGTCCATTGACATATGGCTTTGAAACTTTGCACACTTGTGCACCATCATGACCCCAACCGGTAGACAGGAGGAGGTAACTCTATCAAGCATTTTGACAGAATTATGCCCCTTTTTAGCTCGACTATTCGATAAGAATAAGTAGAGCTATTATAGTCACCCGAGCGTCGGCGTCGGCGTTGGTGTCCGCGTCGGCGTAACCACTTATGTTAAAGTTTTTGTAATAGTTCAAATATTTTCAAAGTCCATTGACATATGGCTTTGAAACTTTGCACACTTGTTCACCATCATGACCCCAACCTGTAGACAGGAGGAGGTAACTGTATCAAGCATTTTGACAGAATTATGCCCCTTTTTCGACTTAGAATTTACGTTAAAGTTTTTGTAATAGTTCAAATATTTTCAAAGTCCATTGACATATGGCTTTGAAACTTTGCACACTTGTTCACCATCATGACCCCAACCTGTAGACAGGAGGAGGTAACTGTATCAAGCATTTTGACAGAATTATGCCCCTTTTTCGACTTAGAATTTACGTTAAAGTTTTTGTAATAGTTCAAATATTTTCAAAGTCCATTGACATATGGCTTTGAAACTTTGCACACTTGTTCACCATCATTACCCCAACCTGTATACAGGAGGAGGTAACTGTATCAAGCATTTTGACAGAATTATGCCCCTTTTTGGACTTAGAATTTACGTTAAAGTTTTGTAATAGTTCAAATATTTTCAAAGTCCATTGACATATGGCTTTGAAACTTTGCACACTTGTTCACCATCATTACCCCAACCTGTAAACAGGAGGAGGTAATTGTATCAAGCATTTTTTTTTACTATCAAGCACTAAGAATAGTCGAGCGTTGCTGTCCTACCGACAGCTCTTGTTCAACTTAGAATTTATGTTTAAGTTTTTGTAATAGTCCAAATATTTTCAAAGTCCATTGACATATGGCTTTGAAACTTTGCACACTTGTGCACCATCTTGACCCCAACCTGTAGACAGGAGGAGGTAACTCTATCAAGCATTTTGACAGAATTATGCCCCTTTTTCAACTTAGAATTTATGTTAAAGTTTTTGTAATAGTCCAAATATTTTCAAAGTCCATTGACATATGGCTTTGAATTTTTGCACACTTGTTCACCATCATGACCCCAACCTGTAGAAAGGAGGAGGTAACTCTATCAAGCATTTTGACAGAATTATGCCCCTTTTTCGACTTAGAATTTATGTTAAAGTTTTTGTAATAGTTCAAATATTTTCAAAGTCCATAGACATATGGCTTTGAAACTTTGCACACTTGTTCACCATCATGACCCCAACCTGTAAACAGGAGGAGGTAACTCTATCAAGCATTTTGACAGAATTATGCCCCTTTTTTGATTTAGAATTTACTTTAAAGTTTTTGTAATAGTTCAAATATTTTCAAAGTCCATTGACATATGGCTTTGAAACTTTGCACACTTGTTCACCATCATTACCCCAACCTGTAAACAGGAGGAGGTAATTGTATCAAGCATTTTTTTTTACTATCAAGCACTAAGAATAGTCGAGCGTTGCTGTCCTACCGACAGCTCTTGTTCAACTTAGAATTTATGTTTAAGTTTTTGTAATAGTCCAAATATTTTCAAAGTCCATTGACATATGGCTTTGAAACTTTGCACACTTGTGCACCATCTTGACCCCAACCTGTAAACAGGAGGAGGTAACTGTATCAAGCATTTTTTTTACTATCAAGCACTAAGAATAGTCGAGCGTTGCTGTCCTACCGACAGCTCTTGTATTAGCTATTATTGGCTGTAACTTTGTTATTTTTGAATGGATTGTCTTCAAACTTGAACATAATTATCTTCAGGGATATTCCTTAAAAATAACTAGACAGACCTTGACCTTCACTCATAAAAGACCTTGACTTTGAAGGTCAAATTATTGAAATTTTCATTTTTATGCCACCGCAGCATCTGCGATGCGGTGGCATATAGCGATTCACCTGTGTGTGTGTGTGTTTGTGTGTGTGTTTGTGTGTGTGTTATATAGATTATATAGTGAACTTAAAAAATCTTCTTGTGAAAAACCACTAGTCCAATTTCAACCAAACTTGGCAGGATTGTTCCTTGGGTGAAGGGCTTCCAAAGTTGTTCAAAGAATTTCATTCCATGCAGAAATCTGGTTGCCATGGCAACCAAAAGGAATTATAAGAATAAATTTAAAAAATCTTCTTGTAAAGACCCAAAAGGCCTAGAGCTTAGATATTTTGCATAAGGCATTGTCTGGTAGACCTCTAACAAGATTGTTCAAATTATAGCCCTGGGGTCAAAATTGGCCCCGCCCCGGGGGTCATTGATTTTCACTATGTACATATTGTAAAAACTTAAAATACCTTCTTGTAAAAACCCAAAAGGCCTAGAGCTTAGATATTTTGCATAAGGCATCATCTGGTAGACCCTTACCAAGATTGTTCAAATTATAGCCCTTGGGTCAAAATCGGCCCCGCCCCGGGGTCATTGATTTTCGCTATATGTACATATAGTAAAAACTTAAAACACCTTCTTGTAAAGACCCAAAAGGCCTAGAGCTTAGATATTTTGCATAAGGCATTGTTTGGTAGACCTCTACCCAGATTGTTCAAATTATAGCCCTGGGGTCAAAATCGGCCCCGCCCCAGGGGTCATTGGTTTTCCTTATATGTATATAGTAAAAACTTAAAAAAAATTCTTCTAGCAATTGACAAATGCTAGAGGTTAGATATTTTGCATGAAACATTGTGTTGTAAACCTCTAGCAAGATTGTTCAAATTATAGCCCTGGGGTCAAAATTGCCCCCGCCCTGGGGGTCATTGATTTCAATATATACATATAGTAAAAAATAAAAAAATCTTATTGTCTGAAGGTACAAGGCTTAGAGCTTTAATATTTGTTAAATAACATCATCTAAAGGTACTCTACCAAAGTTGTTCAAATTTTGCCTCTTGTGTCAAAAT